AGACATTACTATGCATTTGTGGAGCTCTGGCTGCCACACATCATTGTGGCGTTGCCATGGAAACGATAATGTCCTCTTGTTTGCTAGTCCCCCCATCCTCAGGCCACAACACCTGTCAGTGGCCGCAGTGAATTTTAAAAGGCACTCACAAGCTGATTGACCTGGGTGTTCAGTAGCTGTTGATGGAAATGATTTTGCAAAGGTTCCTTCTGCACGAAATTACACCGTTCACCTCACACTGTTTGTGTAAACACAAATAGAAATTACTATGACGCTGGAGCTATTTCTCAAGAGAAGACTGAATTATTTTTTTTGACATATTTGAGAAAACATCTAAGCATCCCCTTTTATTCTTCAAACCAGCATATTTCTAGCAGTCATGCACTATATAATATTTATCTTTTGGGAGAACCTACCAGACTGTTAGGTTTTATATTCCACTCAGAAAGTGGAAACTAGCAAGCTCGCTTCCTATTTCCAAATGTAGGTAAAGCTTGCTGATGCTAGCACTCATTCTCTCTAGACAGTAGGCCAGTGTTAAGCCTGGATTACACTCCCTTGTGGACAGAGTTGTTGTTATTAGAAGGACTATGCTACATACATGCGCAGTAGGTTGGCATCTATGTGTTCTGTACAGGCCAAGCAGGCACACTAGTCTGCGCTGACACAACTTTTTGTGTCTGTGAGTACGCAAAGGTCTACGTAATGTAAAGCACACACAACTCCTGCGCAGATGTCCACACAACTATGCTCAGAGGGCAGTCGTGAAGATGTGCGGAATACATAGAGGATGATCTGACCAGCATGTGACGTGAAATGGGCGTTCTCCAAGTGGAATAAAAAGAAAGCCGGTGTTAGGCCAGCGCTGTAATTTCTGTATCCATGAGTATATGAGGGTCCATGTGGCCTAAATATTGTTTTCTCTCCAAGTCTTTAAGAGTCAGAATGGGCCCCTCCATGGACATCTGTGTGCAGCCCAAATCATAAGTCCATGTGTAGAGTTGGTGTATTGACTATGTTCCTGGGGTGTGCTTGGTAGTGTTGTGCACACATAGAAAACAAAAACACTGAACTACTACGCATGTACGTCCTGCCAGTGGATTCCAAGTGGACTAAAAGTAGTACAACAACAACTATGTGTACGTGGTGTCCACAGCTGTCTACGTGTGCGTCCACAAGGGAGCCGAGTCAAGGATTTATACTTTCCACGTCCACAAGTACAAGAAGGTTCAACATTCAAGCCGAAGTGTTGCCCTGTTAGCTCAACCAGCTGAGTGTGCGACTCACGTACTGATGCCAGAGATCCCCACCGCAGTGGCCTGGACCTAACTCCAACCTGTGGCCTGAATTTGCAGCATGTTGCTCCCCGCCTGTCTTCCCAGCCATCCATCTCTACCACCAACTGTCCAGATTTAGCCCAAAATTTGTATCTATGCAACGATGCCACAGAGGCAGTCGTATGCATGCTGTAAAGCATTGTGCATGCACAGAACACATAGATGCCCATCTATTGCTCATGGAGGGAATTTAGACCTCCAAATGAACTCCAAGTGGACTAGAAAGTGGTATAATAACAGCATCTATGCATCCATGGTGTCCACAGCGATCCATGCATTTGTCTGCAAAAGAAGATAAACAAGGCTTTACTTATTGCTCACCATGTTATATTAACACTTCCTCTCATGCACTTTCCTTCAGCAATATAAAATGGAGGGGTCCTATCTAGTGTCAGCTGTTTCTTTTTCACTTGTCCGGATGTGATGATGGCTGTAAAAAGTTAATAATCAACTTACCAATGCCAAAATATCAGTTAGGCCCCAAAACGCTGCTGTAGGTGGTGCCATTACAAACGTATGAGTACATAAGTACACAAGTCAAAATAAACACCAAGGATTTACATGATGACTCCATAGCAAAAATGTATTCATAAAATCTCAGTTTACATTTCCCACAAATAGTAGAGTGTCTATTTCGATGCCTTGTCTGGGTTTTATTTAGTCTGCCTGTGAGATGGTTTAAGAAAAACATTAAGATTCAGGTGAGAGCAGCATTACAAACCGAGGAGGAGACATTTTGTTACAGAGAGGTGCTAAACCCTGGCAACAGTGACACATTAGAGTTGCTAATAGCAGTAATGATGGCAACGGAGAGATGTGTCACACTGAACAGATGGGAGAGGCAGAAAGAGAGGGAGAGAGGGGAGATGATGTGTGAGAAAATGCTTTAGCTTTTGCATATATCCCTGGAGAAGTGGCCCGGGGGAGAGGGTTGAGTGCACTCTTTCGCTGTTCTCCTCCACAAGGCTTAGTGGTGGAGGAAAGCATGGAGCCCATCCCCCAGTGGATTATTCCTCCGACACTGCTAAGCCCCCATACTCCCACGTTCAGGCAGCCCTTAAACACATGTATTCATTATGAGAGACACTGAATGCACCAAACACACACAGTGGAGATCATGTTTCTGCCAACCCCTCCTTCCCCTCCATCCCTTTTTCTTTCTGTCTATATCTGTCCTTCTTTCAAATGCCAGTATATGCCCGGAATAACAACAACAACACACATATACACACACTCCTACACGAGTACACACACACACACACACACACACATCCTTATGCATGCATGCTCAAGCACACAGAGGCGACCCTCGCTCGCTGGCTTGTGCACTTTCTGTCACACACTTACGCACATTCAGGTATTCAGAAAGCCAAGGCAGTGGGAGAATATTCTGTGCCGCCTCCGTTTGACACAAGCAGCTTTTCCAGTTATATAAGTCACGTTACTGTAATGATGAGCCATGCTGAAGGAAAGAGTGCGGGCCCCTGTGTGTCTTTGTATGCACATTGGTGTGTATGCTTCCATAGTGTGTGTGTGTAGGTGTGTGTGTGTGTGTGTGTGCGTGTGGCCTGCTTTACCTGCGCATACGAAAGCTTCTGAGCGAGATTAGCTGCTTTTCATAAACTGTAGCAGCGTGCACTGTATGTGTCCGCCTCACAGAGGGGTGTGTGATTTAATGTTGTGTGACTGTGACTCTGTGGGAAGATGCCGTGCATGAAAACTATGCATGCAGGACTGTCATAGCCGTTTAACTTGCTCTCAGGCCAAAGTAGTGTGGATAACTGGGAAGTGTTTATGTTGGAGCAGCTAGACTGAAACAACACAACAACAATAAAAAAAAAAAAGAAGAAAAGATTACGATCTCTTCTTCTAGGTTTTTACAGCTGTTGGAGACATTGTTTATTTTACAGATTGCAGAGCAGGCATAGGGAGCAGAGTGAGTCAAGATTCTCCAACAAGAATGACAAAGGAGCGTGAGGATACATAGTAATCATACTCAGCAGTGAGCTTGTGGATTGGCTTTGTTTTCCCAATCCACCCACGTCACAAAACGGGCAAAAAAAAGTGTGAGCGCCTGTATGCCCAGGATTAGTCCAAAAGAAAAGGCCAAAAAAGAAGAAAAGATGTATTCACAAGTGTATCCGCTTTACGGTGGACATAAGGAAAGTTTGCTGTGCCTTGCCGAGCCAGTTTGTGTAGTATCACACAATGAAAGTGAAAGGAAAATGAGAGGCTGGTCACCTCCTCACCGGCCTCTTTAATCAAAAGACTGCTTATAAAGACAGAGGAGGCAATTCAAAAGGCTATACTGGTTTTCGAATACAATAAGGTACAGAATGTGCACATGCCACTCCAGCTATTCTGAGAAGTCACACAGCAGCAACCTCCTCTGCTCTCGCACCGAGATGAGATGAAAAATCAACATGCCGTGAAAAATGGCTTGTCAAGCTCCGGTCAGGGGCTTTCACGCCATCCGTTCAGACACAGTGTTCTTTGTGAGATAATATGCATGCAAGCAAAGGTAAAGGGGAATTGGAAAATTAAATGAAACTGTCCTCCACTCCTCCTGATCTCTTTTCTTTTCCTCTCATGCTGAGCTCCTTTCTCGGCTAATTTCTCTGCCTCCCTAATGCTCCTCCACGCTCTTGTGCCAGCATGTGTTTACTTTTGTACTCTCGGAGACGAAAAAAGAAAAAAAAAACTGTAAAGCTGAATTCTGAGGTGCTTGTTTCTGTGCCAGCTGCACGCGACTGACACACTCCGATAAGGCAAACAAAACAAAAAGGAAAAAAAAGAAGTGAAATGTAATCAAATTTCTGTGCAAAGCTCCCCTGGTAGCTGAGACCTTTATTCAAACAGAACAGACACCTGAGTATGAATATGCTGCTTATTCTTCCACTTTTCATTTTCATAGGAATTGTTGGACATCTTTGGGGAAGTGGGGTTCTTGCTGAATTAAAAATGAGAAAAATCAATGCTGCTCATGCGTGGAGAAAACAGCAAGCCTGGCTTTGTCTAAAGTTTTAATATATGCTTACTGCCGAGCTTAAAACTTAGACAGACAGACAGACAGACAGACAGACAGATAGATAGATAGATAGATAGACAGATAGACAGATAGATAGATAGATAGATAGATAGATAGATAGATAGATAGATAGATAGATAGATAGATAGACAGATAGACAGATAGATAGATAGATAGATAGATAGATAGATAGATAGATAGATAGATATTTTATTCCTCCTCTTGTGCTGGTAGAACCAAGTTAAGGTGCAAGGAAAAAAAGCAAATGATGCTTGTAGAATTTTAAAAACTATAAATACAGTATAACAATAAAAACAAGTGTGCAGAAGGAGTGCTTGGTTTCTATTTTCATCTGTATACAAGTTCAAATATTTCTCTATAGTCTCTCTTCTGGTTTCCTCACAATGATGACAAAACTCCAAGAATTCGTCATTCCTGGCTCCTGCTTGTTCTAGAAATAGTTCTGTTGTGAACTCTGGGCAGAGCCAGGCTTGCAGTTTTTTCCATTCTTGCAGTCTTTATTCCGAGCTAAGCTGGATCTATCTTCATATTTAATGTGCAGTATCAATATTTATTCTCATCTAACTCTCAGAAGGCAGGCAAACAAGCCGTTGAATAATATGAATTCAGCACGAATGTTTCAAATTATACTCATACACGTAATTCTTTCTTCTGCAGGTAGTTTGTCAGATAATTCCAAGGCGGCGACCTCTGACCCCCCAGCTCTCATCCACACGGCGACCTCTAAACCCGCCGCTGCTCGCTCTGAATCAGCCGCAGTGGAACCCAGCAGCACTGGCAGGACTCAAAGCCTTCCAGAAACCGGCTGCAGCCCAATACTGGATGTACGAAACCTAGCGGCTGTGGACTCCCCACCTCCTCTAACACCTCCTCCGCCTCCTCTTTCAACCGGAGACACCTCGGACCTTCCGCTCCCGTCGCCTCCAGTCCTCCCTCCACCTCTGCCGCCGTCCAAACCGTCCTCCGTCTCCGGTCCTCCTTCTCCCCCGACGCCGCCCCCCGCTGAGAGCCCCCTGCGTCCCACCACCCTCAACCTGAAGACGCTCCCGAGGCCCTCCGTCAGGGAGAACGGCGGCCCTCCGCCCGGAGTTGACGAGGACGAGGAGGAGAGGAAGATGCTGGAGGAGGATCTGAAGAAATGCATCGAGGACTTCAAAAAGATCCGCTTGCCCAGAGTGTTTCCAGATCGCAAGAGGCACTGGCAAAGTGACTTGCTCAAGAAGTACAATGCGTAGAGAGCTTCGCCGCTTTCACTGTGGCACCACGGTGAACAAACTTGACAAGGATTTTTGAAACAATGATGAGAGCGCACTGTGAGCAGTGGACTCGGGCTTTATTCTCATATTGTTCTGATTCAAGCTGTGTGAAGAGTGTCAGTGAGTTTACTTCAACCTCTGATGTAGCAGCTTTTGCATGTCAACTGAAATGGATTGTTTGATTAGGCGTAGTGCTCGGGCTGAGCTAGTCTAGCCGTCACACAAACACCTTAAAACACAGATGTCTTTTCCCATCATAGAACACAGCTTCCCTATAGAGGTTATTAGTCACACTTCTTTGTTCCACAACTTTGGAACATGGAAGGAAAAAAAAAAAAATGTGTTCTTCTCGCTCAGTCAAAGGACAATATATGTAATGTCATTAATTAGAGATTTCTGTCCTTCTCTCTGTACCATGTCTGCTGATCAAGCAACTGGAAAATGTAAGCAAAGTGTGAATTTTTAGGCGTTTGACCGTAATGATGCAAAAATAAAAGAAAGAAGTGAAATCTCTGGCGCTAATCATCTAAACTATCTCACCTCATCAATATTAACCACACGACTTCAAAGCCTTTCCACTCCTCTCTGCCTCCGATTCGGAAGCTCTGGCAGTTTGGCTCGTTTTGTGATTACAATATCTTCAAGCGTGCAATGGAAAGAATTCAGAAAGAGAATCCAGTGTCCCAGGAAGTGGAGTGGGTAATTACAGGCGGCCAGAATGTGGAATAATAATGACAATAATGACTACATGAACCAATGCGCGGTGCCGTTTGTTTCTCTGTCTGCGCTGCATAAAATGTTCCATCCAGCTTCTCTAATGAATTACCAGGTGTAGCTCGTTCCAGCTTTCATTATAGGACAAATGTGATAAATCATGATAAAATTAAATGATTTGAGCTATTTGTCTTTTCAGTCACCTTGTGAACTAATTCTCAGCATCATAGTGTTCATTCATTTGAAGAAAAATGTACATTTTGCTTGCTTGCTTTCAAACTAAGCGGAGTTAGCGAACTAACTTAGCTTAGCTTAACTGGAAACAGGGCTAGTCTGGAAATGTGAAAGCATCACAACAAAGGCTCAGAATCATTGCATATGAGTCACAATCAAGAGTGCAAAAATGTGACCCATCTGCATGAAATCAATCGCATTGAGCCTTGGACTATTATGCGTAAACAAAAGCGGCATGTCGCTACCACATGACACAAATCACAGGACAGGATTGGCTGGAAATGACACATTGCTTGCGTCGCCTGCGCACAAGTGATTTCCGCGGCTTCTTTCTGGTGTTACTGCTCATGCACGCTGATGGTATATGACAGCAATATGGAATGTAAATATTATTACGCTCTGTAATATTACATGTTACCTACATGTAGAAAACAACTAAATGGACCAGTCTAAGTAATAAAGCCAAAATCAATATTTTATCGTGTGCTAACGTAATTCAGGCCTTATCTCAGATATAGCCCAAGGCGCAGTGCAACTGATTTCACGCAGATGGGTCACAGATTGGCATCAATGTGCAATTTCACATTGTTCGCATATTTATTGAAAGAAACAACTTTTTGACACTGCCTACAAATGTTGTCACATTGTTTAAAGAATTCATGAACATTCTCCCAAATGTGAAAATCAAGTTTTAGATCTTTCTTAGCTTTTCGATACAGTGTTTTTCTATGTGTTAGACGACATAACATGAGAGAAATAAGTGGCCAATGTCATGTCTGAGCATTTAAAATTGCTTCTATGTTACATCTTTTCATTGGGTAGTTTTAAAGGGTTGGCGAGCTGGTGTGCTCGAGCTGCGGCGAGTGGAGAGGGGTGGGTGTAGATAGAAGCAGGAAGTTATAAATCCACACATATTAAATAAAGTAGTGGTGTAGAGATGCATCTTGGGCATTTTAAGGCAGGAATACATTATTTTCATTGAATACGTGTTTAAATATGTAACTTTGATACACAGAGATTAGATGTTAGGGGTTTCAGTGACTGAAGAGGAACCAATAAAAAATGTCTTTACAACATACTTAATGTGCTGAAAACGCATCAAGTGACAAGAGCAGTACGATCCACTATCCTAAGATAATTACCAGAAGTGGGACACAACCTTAGTATAGTTACTCAAGTACAATTTTACTATTTTCACGCTATGCCACTGTATACTTTACTCTACTACATGCTTGAGGCCAATATTGTACTTCTTCCTCCACGACACGCGTCTGGCAGCTGTAGCTACTTGTCAGATTAACATTTTTCATACCCTTTTTGTCGATTGAAAAACCCCGCATCTGAAACTGTGTTCAATCTGAATGTGAATATTTGTGATTAATTGCAGGATTAAGTGTTCCGCTGTGGGTTGAGAACAGTCTCCTACTCCTTAAGCTAAATAAACTATTTAATAACCCTCATGGATTAGCTGTAAATATGCATTGTCACAAAGCAGAAAACAGGGCTGTTTTTCCTGAGCTCATTAAAAGTTTTAGAGGTTCTCACATGGACAGCATTGCTACAAACATGGTGAGCTCACAGAAGAAGATGCATTGCTGTAGATTAAGCTTTCCAACAAGTGTAAACATTTAAAGCAGTAAAATAAACACAATGCACAAATACAGCTGGGAAATTAATGCAAAAAACATCCTATATACTAATAATAGGAATGTTTTATTGCACAAAGTGTACGAATACTTTTACTTTAGTGAGGTCTTGAATGCAGCACTGCAACGGAGTATTTTGGCAATGAAGGATCTTAACACGTCTACCACAAAATGATCAAATGACAAATTTATCGTGCTGTAACATTGTGGAACGCGTTGAGAACGTTTCACAAATTCTGTAATATGTTCCCTTAGTGACATCTTCAGAACACTGCAGCCAGAATGTTCCACCTTTGTTCATGTACTGCAGTACAGGAACATCTTATAAAGAGCGTTCTGTCATCTGAGGGTCAGTAACATCTTAAAATGTTTTTTGAATGTTGCATTGAGAACATTCTTTGTTTTCATCTTGAAAACATCTTCTGGAAGCACATTTTTTAATGTGTTCCTTCAACAAAAAGGCAAAATGTTCCACTTTAAATATACCACATAGAATGTTCTGTATAATAAAACAATCTGTCATCTGAAGCCTTGATAACATCTGGAAAACATTTTTGGAGTGTTGCTTTAAAAACATCCTCCGTTTGTTATTGTGGAACATTGTGAGAATGTTTTATAGAGGAGCGTTCTTTAACGTGTTGCCTCCACAACATCCACAAAACATCTTTTAGAACATTGCAGCCAAAATGCTCCATCTTCGTCGATATATCCTTGATAACATCTGGAAAACATTTTTTGAATGTTGGTTTAAGAATGTTCCTCGTTTGTCATCATGGAACATGATCTGTTTTGCTGACAATTCAAACATCATATTAACTTTATAGGAACATTACTGAAAAAGAAAACTTTCTCAGAACATTATTTAAACATTTGATTTAAATATTTCTTTTTAAAAAATGATTAAAACTTGTAAGTAATGCTATCAAATGTTACGGGAATGTTCCCTGTCAGCTGGGGTGATACATCTGACAAAGGAAAACAGCTTACCAAAGCTCAAAAACCTGCCACCACTTCAGAAGCTCACTGGGAACATGTTGCAGTGTGAAAGTGTGAAACTATCACAGCACATAATTGTTTGTTGGCAAACAGCAGGCAGGTGTAGTTTTGTACCATGTGACTTCTTCAAAAACCTCCTTGTAATTTTTACATTTTGCTTTGTGTGAGCATTAAACAAAGGCGATACAGCCCCTTTAAGTGAGCCTTAAAGGGGCTTGTAAGTGTATATTTCAAGTATAGAGAAAGCCAGGCTTGATGTTCCCTCTTGCTTCGAGTCTTTTTGCAAAGCTCTGTTAACTCAACTGCTTTTCTGGCTCCTGGCAACTTAACATGCGCACACGACAGTGGAACTGATCGTCTCATCTAATTGGCAAGAGATTGTTCCTCAAGAATATGCTCCACAGAAACAAAGGGATTTACAAGTAGTTGCTTTATAGTGCGTCTACATAGATTTCCAACCAGCCACAAATTATATTACTGTGTATTCCGTCAAAACCAGAAACGCAACTATTTTCCAACGAAAAGGAACGATTTCACAGAAGCTCTTGGCAAGTAACCTAAAAAAAAAATGGGATCTGTTTATTAAAAACATCCATCTCAGCTCAGCTCTGCAGACTTCCGGTCCTCACTGTGAGGCTGCAGAGTTCACACAACCTCCAACTGTGAGCAAAACCATGAGAAATCTGACCGTATACGCTCCCAGTGCACAACCTTAGCAAGTCAGCTAAAAAGACACCAGATGCAAAACAACTTTTGAGCTGCTATGCGTAGCCTGTTTCTCCTCATTCTGCTCGGGTGAGTCACCCTCCCACATTTCCATCCCCTGTGCAAAGGTAATAAATCGAGCAGCAGCCTGTCAGGCCGCTCACAGACCAAATCTGGTGTCAATGCTGCATTAAATTAAAATCCTTAAATAAGCTGACCCTCAGAATAGTTTAGGAGACTTATTAGGAGCGATAATGAAGTGCTACATTTCAAACAGTTACCCTGACACTACTGAAAATACTCAGTGACATGTTCATTAATGATACGTTTTGTGTGAAGGAGCCGTGTGACTTTGGATGTTGGGCCTTGAAAACATTGTTACCTCCCTTATTCTTAAAAGTTACTTGCCACACTGCCTCTTTCCTAATTACTTTTCTGCAATTTCAACAAATTACACAAAGTGCTTTTTGAATTTTTTGGACCGCTTTGATAATTTTGTCTCCGCCAGCTTCTTGTTTCCACTACAAATAATCACTGATGCAAGAGACCATCAAATTGATGTTTTGTTGTGACTTACAAAAAACACCCACTGATTCTGGTGAGCAGCAAATATAACACAGAGTCCCCACTATATTCACAATAGAGTGGAGTGAATGCGGCTTTGAGGATGTTTTGATGTGTCATTTTATTTTTCATTTTTGATCATTTTGTTTTCCCCCGTGTGCCTCATTTGACCAGAGTGGAATCAAAGAACAACCTGTTGCTTTTTCCCTAATGAGCCCGGTGGCCATCTGCAACATCTCCTAATGATGTTGTCTTATCCTAGAGCTCCCGTCGGCGCTGTGCCTCCAGCCCGACGCTGTTCAGCTCTTAGTTGACCTGAGTTGATATTGAGGTCAAGGCATTAATCCTCAAGTGTTGGCTGAGAAGAAAGTTAAACATCGTTAAACGTCAGACAAACAGAATTTTATCGGGCACGGTGGTAACCGCTGAGGAGCAATAGCGATATCCTCTTGCTCCGAGTAGAGGATTAGCAACAGATTAGGGTTCGTCACAGACAGTCTGTAAACAGCGAGCGACTCCTCTTACCAGCTACGATTTATGCCACGCAGTCGCTCTCAACTACATTTCACACCGACATCAACACTCAGGCCTTTTCCAATTGGCTGCAGATTGCTGAGA